TGTTGAAATATTTGATTGCCTCATGTATAGATTCATGTATGCCCACATAGAAGCACATATACATATCGAAAAATGATGGATTTATATCATTGTTGATTATATTACTAGGGTTTTATCACCTAAATTTTGAAGAAAAAAAATGGTAGAAGAACAAGTGTTTTGGCTTTATTTCTGAGAAAACCAACAGTGGATCTCTTGAAGCTTGACACTGTTAAAGAATTTCCCACTATTCATAACTTGTTGATCCTGTCTTTTCTTTGATGAGAAGTGGATGAATATGCGTTTGCCTTTTTTTGCAATGAATTGGTCTGCATAGGTACAACATCAATTTGCAATTTCAGTCCAAACCAAAAAGCCGCAGGAGGAAACAAAATAGCTGTGATATCAAAGATTGTTTGTTTCTTCCTGTCGATCATGTTCTAAGCCCACTAGCTGTCTCTTTCCGAAGGATCATTCGATAAGGATATCCACATACTAACTCCATCTCCCACACGCTGGAAGCCTGCAGATCCATGACAGAATCATTAATTGTTAGTTTATTGTTGTTGAATTCTTGGAATTTTACATGAACTAATTGATATTTTATACACCGACAGACAGACAGTATATAAACACCATCATCATTGAATACATCACAACTTATCAGAATTTAAATTTGAATTCCAAACTTTGCTCATATATATATACTGTCAGTGTATATAAGATTTACTCATTTTATATTCCTATAGTCCTATATATCACGCATTCAACAGTAATATACTGTCAGTATATATAAGATTTACTCATTTTATATTCCTATATTATAATGCCTTTTTTTTTAAAATAACTAGTTGATCAAAAGCCAATGAATTTCACTGATTGCTATCTCTAATCCAGATGACGACAGTCAATTGTTTCAACTTGATGGCTTGTCCAATAATGCCACAGTATTTTAGGTTGGCAATTTGTACGATGAATTAAAAAAGGAGTGATTTTTGCTCAGATGTCACTCACATTAGCCTCTATTTATATGGCACCAAGGGTTTTGCAATTGCGGTGACAATTACAGCATACAATATATACTAATGCAAAGTATGTACTCCATATACGGTATACACTAATAACAACAACATGAAAACTATAAGCATTAACGTGTAAAAATGTTAACTTGGAATGTAGGTCGTGGGATTCCAAGCCACCGCCTCGGCTAACAATACTTTATACTACGATAGTGTGACATTCCTGAAAACTCGACATAACCGATTTGTGCCTTTAATCAAACTGTGGTTGATGTAATATTCTGTCGCCTGATATGACTGCAGCAAAAAATCACGTGCTTAATCAATCTATTACTCCTCGCAATGTCAATAATGCATCTCGATTTCTCGAAATCCATACTCATTCCTTGGGCTATAGATACAACCATTTTCACCCTCAAAGGTAACACACAATTATCCACCTTTTAGCTCTTTTAATTCCCGAACTCCAACCTTTCCTCGCCCTCTAACTTAGGCAATGGAGTTACCCTGGGGGATGGGCCTTAACTCTTTTGCCGCTTTCATCTCTTTGTGTCCGCAGGTAAGAAGTTCGGCTCAAACAATTTGACCTCGAGAGTTTCTTACTCGTACATAAACACTAATACAATTTTTGCGTATTAATATCTTCGTGTTTATATTTATTATGTTATTCTTATATTATTTAATGTAATTGTCACTAACAATAGAAGAGGATCCCAAACCATAATATCTTATATGGAGATCAAGGAGTGGATAATGGATAATTAGCAATGATGGTTATTTTTGACCAAGCAAATGATAGATTGTTATTCATCCCTTGGCCATGTTTCCCAAACAATCTTTTGCAAAACCCATACTAAAATGTCAACTTACTTCTATAGGGCGAATTCATAGCTGATCTACCATAGCAATATCATGGTGCTGTCGGAGCTGAAATAGCAAATGCTAAAGCGGGCAGTGAATCTATTACATTGGCAAACAATTTGATGATACCATTTTCCTTTGAAGGCTTTGTTTACTCAACTTTTGCTTAGCAGAAAGGATGCATGAGTTATCATGGATGATTTTAGCAATACTTCTATAGCCTAGGTTCTCATGAAGTCAATAGAACAACCATGTTGGTGGTACTATCACTATTAAATTCCATTATGCATGACTTGAGTTTCAAACGTCATATAAAATATAGTTGTTATGATGCTTAAGCTATAAAACTTGTAAGTTCATTTTCAATTGACCACCCATTCATGTAACTGAAAAGAAATAAAAAAAAAATAGCCCATTCATGGGATTGATTTCCAACCAAAAATGGGGGAAGTGTTTAGAGATGTCACATTTCTAAAGATGTAGCTGCTAAAAGTCATACCACCACTTAGGACTTTAGAGGCTCTTATGGAAAATTATCCATCTGCAACCACCAAAAAAAAAAAAGAAAATGGAAAAGAAAGTAGAAGCCTTTTTGCCTGGCTAAATTTATAGTTTTATACCCATTTTGGCTTTTGAATAAACTTCTTCATTTTACGATAACCACAAAATAAAAAGCCATTATCTTTCTTAACCCAAAAATGACATTAATTGGAAATTAAAAAAAAATAAAATGAACTCTAGATAGGATCAATCTTTCCTATATTATTAGGAACTTTTTTTTTTTTGAAAGTCAATGGACTTGGCTACAAGCAGCATGTTTTCAAAAGGAAATTTTAAATTTTGAATATAAATTATGTATCATACACTAACACCTGGTAGTGCAAGAAATAATTTTATACTAACAATGTAAAATTAATTTATATAAAGTTAAAATAACATATCATAGTAAAACTCGAATTCGAGATTTGTAGATCATTTTTTTCCCTTAGCAATTGATTAAAGCAACTAAAGTTATTTGAAAATTTTTTCCTCAAAAACAAAAGAAAAGAAAATGATTAGAGTAATCATTTGTTTATGTAGCTTGAGTGTCTTGCGGGATTGGGGAATGGACCCGTTAAGGTAGCATTTACTACGTAAATAAATTATGTCAAAGTATGGCAACATCTGTACATAGTACATTGTATTGTATAATTATCATTGTACTCGTATAAAATACTTAGAAAAATTATTATTATTTGCCTTTTCTTTTCCATTTTGGGTGTTTTTTTTTTTTAATGCTTTCAAATTTCTATCAATTATCCATCAAATGATCCGTATAACGTAAGCATACGAACTCCCGTAAATCCCATGTTTGCTTCCGCATCTAAATTAAGATATTCTCAGTCCGTGTCGTGACGTAACCTAACTTTCTCACGCTTTCAATTTCTGACCCCAAATATTTATTTCCCATATTCAAACCTCCCCAGCCTTTGGTGTGATATAACTAACGTCTCTGGTTTTGACAATTTGAAGTCTAGGCCAAGGTAACTTCTCAGTTCTTACTTATGATGGCATATTCTTTTCTTGACTGAAAATCCATTAGTTGTCAAAGCTTGAATTTTCCTTAATAAATTTAGAAAATTGACCCATTAATACCGGATGATTTTGTTTGACTTGTAACGTACAAGCAATTCATGAAAATTATCATTTCTTCACTAAACACAGTTAATAATGATTTAGAGATTACTAGTAAAATTTTCATGCGATAGAACTTATTCGACTTCAAATAAAGATTCATATACAGTACTATTAAATGGTCGAGTGCACTAAGCTACTATAACTTTTTTTTTTAATTATCGAACGACTTCATATCATCAAAATAATCAAGTTGTTAATTTTTTTTTTTACTAATTTTAAATAATTTTTAAAAGAAATAAGGGCTGATTGTTGAGTAGCAAAAGTATCCATAGATTGAACAACCAGAAGATTTAAAAATGTAAAACCACATACATTACATTTATTTACAATTATAAAGAAAAAAATAGTTGATATTGTATGTTACGTATGCTTGGCATTAAAAAATTCTCAAAATGCCATTTATGACCCAAAAAATGATAACATGCTTCTTTAATAGTGTTTGTAATTGATAGTGGAAGACATGTAGTGTAGAAATAATAGCCGAAACCTAAAATGAAATTTAGTTTGCTTTTAAGCATTTGAGTTTTTTTTGTAAGAAATATTCTATTATACATACGCCGTTATATGCTAATTGAAATATTTGTAATTAAGTAATAGATGTAAAAGCTTCATTGTATAACAATCATTAGCTTGGATCTTTTTGTTTCCTTCCTAGAATATAGGGGTATGTTCGAATATTCATTGACGGTAGTTATTTTTATCAACGTGTGAGTCAAATAACTTACCACCCCAATCAAAAAAAAAAAAAAAAACTTGAATGATTAATGTTCCTTAATTATCCATTTGAGTTTTCACCTTAGGTGAAACCTTAATTATCATTTTAGGCGAAACCTAAAATGAAATTTAGTTTGCTTTTAAGCATTTGAGTTTTTTTTTTTGTAAGAAATATTCTATTATACATAGGGCGTTTTATGCTAATTGAATTATTTGTCATTAAATAATAGATGTAAAACCTTCATTGTATAACAATCATTAGCTTGGATCTTTTTGTTTCCTTCCTAGAATATAGGGGTATGTTTGAATATTCATTGACGGTAGTCATTTTTATCAACGTGTGAGTCAAATAACTTACCACCCAATAAAAAAAAACTTGAATGATTAATGTTCCTTAATTATCTAGCTAAATAATAGTTATATTCTAACACACTTTCGTCTAGTAATAACATATTATATATTGCAAACACCACTATATCTATTTTGAATTTGAATTTGAATTTCTTAAAAACAATAAAACTAATAATTTACCATAGTTATAATTATAACACGTTACAGATTCACTCCTCAACATAGAAAAGAGAAGATGAAAGAGATAAAACACAAGAGAGTAAAGCACTAACGTTGGGCAGTAGTAGGAATACAAAGACTTGATGGGCCATTTCACAAGAAAAGCTAAAAGTAAAAAACGAAAAAAAAAAAATGGCAACCGTCTCTCACGTCCTTTCTTGTTAAAGCCTCGAGGTCAAAACCACCACCCACCACCACCACCACCAACAACTAAAACAAAAACAAGAAAAACATCCGCAAAAACTCTTCGCCGCGGTTTTCTCTCTCTGTTCTGAACACCGATTTTTCTTCAAATTAATGCTTTTTAATAATCTGATCGTAATAAATTCTCGTCAGCGGACAGCGGCGGAGTCTACGGCGGAGGCGGAATCGGACGGCGGAGGCGGCGGCCTCAAGGGCCTGAAGAAAGAAGTAGGAGGAGGAGAAGTAAACTTGTTGGTGTTTTTAGTGTTATTTTTCAGTTCCGGTGAAGTGCCGGTGACCGGTAAGATTTTGCTGCGGTGATTATATTATGAAGAAAGCCTCGAATAGCATCAATAATCAGAATAATATCAAAGCTATTAATCATCATCATGGCAAGAATGGGACTTCGCCTCGGACCAATGGATTTGTACCGAATTCGCTAAAGTTTATTTCGTCTTGTATCAAGACGGTGTCGTCTAATGTGAAGTCTGCTGGTGTATCCGTCGCTGGTTCTATCGCCGGTGATTCGTCAGACGATCTCCACAAAGACCAGGTATGGTATTTTTTCTGCTCATCTGTCAAAAAAATTCATTTTTTTTTTTTGGGGAGAAACTTAAATATTTATTTATTCTTGGTATGCAGTATTTGTTTGTGTGCACTAGGTATTTGGATTGTGATCGCCTTTTTGGTAAAAGCTCTTGACTTTTTTTGAAGTTGACCCACATTTCTAGGTTTTTTAAGTAGTTAGGAGGATATTTTTAGGTGGGAGAACTTGGGGAAAATTGGCAAGTAGGTAAAACAGCGATTGAAGTGAAAACGATGTAGTTAAGAGGAAGATTGTACGAATAGGATTTCATAGTTAAATGTAAAAACTTTGTTAAGAAAAGAAAACAGAAATATTGCAAATGAGTTGTTTAGAAAACTAGAGTTAACTACATCCTCAAAAGATTGTATTGGTTCCGACAGTGACAATGGTGACATTTTGATTTGAGTGGTTGGATAGTTGTGTATTAGCGCTGGTCTTAGTGCATTGCAATGAAGTGATTAATTGTTTAGTGGTTCCTTGTTTTGTTAGGCTGGACGAGATTAATGATTTTCAAATACCAGACGCCAAAGGGTTGATGGCGATACCATATGCCTAAAGTAGAATTTTGGAGATTGTTACAATTTTCCCTTTTGATCCACAGTTACCTTGGTTGAGATTCCTAATTTTTGAAATTTGGATAATTTTGAATCTGTTGAATGTTCTTCATATATGTCCTGATGCTGCTTGTCCAATTGGAGCAATTGTGCAGCTTAGAAATGAGTGTCCTATTCCCGTGAAGGAGTGTAAATCATCTGATCCTTTATTCTTTGTTGTTTCAGTGAATGGATAACACGTGTTCCAAATGTTGTTTAACTATGTTGGATGTCTTGCCAGGCTTCTGCCCTTTCTTTTTTTGACAAGCAAGTATTCCTGATCTGCATTGAAAACCTGTCAGATTTGATTGTCTAATCGTGTCCCTCCTTACGTCATCTACTTGCCATCTCAAATATTTGCTGTCCTCCTCTTGTATTGCCTTTGACATAAACTTCGCTGACGATATCCTCTTTTAAAACTAGGAGAGAAAACGTTATATTAGAGGCTATAATAGAAATGACATACAACTTGGACTACCTTATATGCCACGTTAACTTCGCTTAAGACTAGAAGAGAAAACATGATAATAGAGGTGTAATTGAAATGGGTGACAACTTGAACAACTTCATATGCCTAAGTCCTACCATATCAAATCTCAATCTAGCTTTGAAATCTCAATGATTACTTGATCACGATGTAGTCAGCCTGCCTCAGATTGCGAGGATTTCTGTATTCAAGTTTTGCTAATTGAACTTCTCTAACCGATGATGCTTGGATATGAAGTAATCTGTATTCAAATTTTGCTAATTTAGAGGATCATGGATGCATATGCGTGTGCTGTTCTGCTGTGTGTGATCTTACGTTAATTGTATCATTTGATAGGTTTGGAAAAGTTATGTAGGTGGTGGCTGCAAATCCTTCTAATTATCATTTTAATTGTATGATTAAAAGTGTAGGTGGTTTAATTTTTTACCTATTCTTTGTTTATGTTGTTCAAATTATCATATGATACATTAGTATTTTATGTTTGGGGAGTAGACTGCCATAGTAAACACAGATAATATTGGATATTTGCACATCTCGCTCCATCAGCAAGCTTGCTACTGTTGCACCTGGGAGCTTGGCTTCCTGTTGGAGAAAGATAGATTGAAGAAATAGTCGAAACTAGTGTATGTGATTCCCAGACCTCACTGTTCATAAGTGCTGAGTAGACGAGCTTTCTTCTAAGAGAAGAGGGCCAACTCCCATGCATCAGAATGTTGTTCTGTCGAAGTACATCTACTTTGCCATTGCTGCAGAATCCTTGGCATTGAAAAAACTCTTCTGGCAAAGTTTTAGATGTTTGTAACTGCATTTATTTCTGGTTAATATTGAATATTGAACTTTTGATATCCCTTCTCATTTAGACACTCTTACAGTCTATAATGCTTCTTTTTTCTCTTTAAATGATGCCTGTTTATGATCTTATAAGTGACATTTTTGGTTGATATTCTGTCATTCTTTCTGACCAGAACATTCTTTGCTTTCTTTCCAGGTTTTATGGGCTTCCTTTGACGGAATAGAACTTGGTTCTTCTTTAAGACGTGTTCTTCTTATTGGTTATTCCAATGGTTTTCAAGTTCTTGATGTCAATGATGCATCTCGTGTCACTGAATTGGTCTCAAGGCGCGATGATCCAGTCACATTTTTGCAGATTCAACCTATGCCTGCAAAGTCTGTTGAGCGTGAAGGATACAGGGCCTCACATCCGATGCTGTTGGTTGTGGCAAGTGATGAAGCAAGTTATCCAGGTCCAGTTCAGAATGGCAGAGATGGATTTGTTGATCATCAGTCAGCAAACATTTTGGCGTCTCCTACAACTGTTCGGTTTTACTCCTTAAGGTCTCACAACTATGTCCAAGTTTTAAGATTTCGGTCAACTGTATATATGGTTAGGTGCAGTCCGCAGATAGTAGCTGTGGGTCTTGCAGCACAGGTAAGCATCTAGTTGTGTTATATACGTGTTTTCTGCTCTGGATTGATTTTTAGTTTTGAGATGACCATGTAGCAAATGTTTGTCATATGTTGTAGAGAGTGACAGTTATGGCATCCATGGATGCTATAATCTGTCCCTCACAATTATACATTGAAAGGCTCTACTAGATAAGGTTATTCTTTTGCCTTATAGATACGATGCTATCATTCTTCGTTGCTGAAGATAGTTTGAACTAAAATATCTAATTATTTTAACTTTCTCCCATGATGTTGCAAGTTTCTTTGATTATGGTGCCAAAGGAATGAGATAGGCTTTCAGAAAATTGGTTAGAAGATCTCAAAGGCGAAGTTTTTCATTTTGGTACATTGAACTCAATTTAATGGTAGCATGAGCCCATGTAGTCTTGTTTATTAAACGTAAATAGCTTTTAAGAATTTGTTACTTCATTCATTATACAGTCACAATTGTTTGACTTACATTTTACTGTTCCTGGCAGATATATTGCTTTGATGCACTTACTCTAGAGAACAAGTTCAGCGTGCTAACATATCCAGTACCTCAATTGGGAGGGCAGGGTACTAATGGGGTAAACATTGGCTACGGTCCAATGGCTGTGGGCCCCAGGTGGTTAGCCTATGCTTCTAATAATCCCTTGCTGTCAAATACAGGACGCTTAAGTCCTCAAAGTCTAAGTCCTTCTCCTGGTGTGAGCCCTTCTACCTCACCTGGTAGTGGAAACCTGGTTGCTCGTTATGCAATGGAGTCGAGTAAACAGTTAGCAGTTGGATTAATCAATTTGGGTGACATGGGCTACAAAACTTTATCAAAATACTGTCATGAGCTCCTTCCTGATGGTTCGAGTTCGCCGGTGTCATCTAATTCTAACTGGAAAGGTGGAAGGGCTACAGCACATTCATCTGAGACAGATGCTGCTGGGATGGTGAGTGTTTTAAAGAGCATACTGGAATAGTTGAAATTACTGAATTTTTAATGATTGTAATTACTTTGTTATCTCATAAATATCTGGATAGTATTTTGCCATTACCTGATTAGTAGGATTGTTTTCCTAAATTGGGATCTTATTATGGTAAGTAGCGGATAGGTGACATAATGAAGAGCAGTTTGTACTCTTTTATATTAATTAACTTGTTGAATAATATTTTTCTCTTGAATCTTCAAATGCAGGTTGTTATAAAAGATTTTGCTTCAAAAACAGTCATATCACAGTTCAGGGCACATACAAGTCCATTATCTGCTCTCTGTTTTGATCCAAGTGGAACTCTTCTTGTTACAGCCTCTATACATGGGAACAACATAAACATATTCCGCATTCTGCCTTCTAAAACACAGAATGGGTTAGGCGCTGATAACTATGATTGGAGTTCTTCTCACGTGCATCTCTACAAACTTCATCGTGGCATGACTTCAGCTGTATGTATCTTGTTTTTCTATTTTTGTTTGTGCATATTGATAAGAATTCTGCAACATGTTCTCCTTGTAGATTATTTACCACTAGTTATTGTTCTATTTATTTATCTTCTCCTGTGTTCGATTTTATGTAACAGGTAATACAAGACATTTGTTTTAGTCACTATAGTCAGTGGGTTGCTGTTGTATCATCACGGGGCACTTGCCATATTTTTGTTCTCTCACCATTTGGTGGTGAGACTGGTCTTCGATTACAAAGTTCTCATATTGATGGTCCCACACTTTCTCCAGTTCTATCGATGCCTTGGTGGTCTACTTCATCATTCCTGATAAACCAGCAGGCTTCCCCACCACCACCAGTACCTCTCACTCTCTCTGTAGTTTGCAGGATAAAAAGCGGGAATTGGCTGAATACAGTAAGCAATGCTGCATCTTCTGCTGCAGGGAAGGTTTCTCCAACCTCTGGGGTTATTGCTGCTGTGTTTCACAGTTTGCTACACCAAAATAGCCAATCTGTTTCCCCAAATGGGAAGGCTCTAGAGCACCTGTTAGTTTACTCACCTTCTGGTCATCTAGTTCAATATGAACTGATGCCCTCTCTTGGGGGAGAACAGAGCGAGTCTTCTCTGAAAAATGGGACAAGTTCAATGGTGCAGATGCAGGAGGATGATTTGGGAGTGAAAGTTGAACCTGTCCAGCGATGGGATGTTTGTCGAAGAGCAAATTGGCCTGAAAAAGAGGAATATATTCAGGGTATTACACTTGGGGGACGGGAAGCTCCTGAGGCATTCATGGACACTGCTCAGCCGGAAGATAACGAGATTGGAGAAAAGGATGCTGTGAAACCACATGACCGATCTCATTGGTATCTCTCCAATGCTGAGGTGCAGTTGAGGTCTGGGAGGATGCCAATATGGCAAAAATCGAAGGTATTCATTATCATCATGCAAGTATATTACTATTATAATTTGTGCTGATGCTTACTTCACTTTTTAGATATACTTCTATACAATGAGTCATGGTGGATATGAAGAGCAGAACTTGGTGGATGTAAATACTGGTGGAGAAATTGAGATTGAGAAGATTCCTGCTACTGAGGTTGAAATAAGGCGCCGAGAGTTGCTGCCTGTATTTGACCATTTCCGCAGAATCCAATCTGATTGGAGAGATGACAGGTAATGAAGTGGCTACTTCGTTACTTTCTCTGGCCTGAGTAGCAAACTTAGCATGTTGAAACTGTTAATCTTTAGTTCAATTAAATGAATGCCTGCAAGATTATCTTAAGAACGAGATTGTTATTTTTTGTGTAAATCTTCAATGCTAAGCAGATATAGAATAAAGGTTTTGGTGAAACTGGATAATTTACTTTTTCATCTGGAAAGGTACAAGGTACTTATAAAAAGACAGGGATAACTTCAAATACTTGATCAATCAAGGATTTAAAGGTCTTTGAATGTTGCCAATTGGTTGCATCTTCATAGAATTTGTTCTTGTGGGTTGTTGAGGTGTATGTGGTGTGGAAATCTGGAGAAAGATGTGTTTGGGGCTGGGGAAAGAATTTTATTTATAAAAATTTTTGTTACTCAGATAGAGTTGCTGATATGGTTTAGAATAATTGGAGAAAACTAGTGATAATGGCACATTTGATGTGTGTGAGATTTATTGACATTCTCATTTTCTTAAAGTATTAACAAATGACAAATTAGTTTTGCATTTCAGGTGCATTTGAATTTTCATTTGTTTTATGCTAAACTAGTAGTAGGCGGTTTCCACATGTAGTGGTTGTTGAAGCATTAAATTTTAGAGTGTTCTATTTTTTAGAAAAGAGAAAAGAAAAGTGAGAATTTGCTTGTCTTATAGAACTTTCATAAGTAGGATTTTTTGTGTTCATTTGGCTGCAAACCATCCCTAAACACCTTGCTTTCCTTTGGGATACATCTAGTATATTCACATATTGTATCATTTTTTCTTCATAAATTTCGAAGTTACATAGAACAAGTATGGTCTTTGGAAAGTTTTGGATATTGTATCATTTCTTCTTCATAAATTCCAAAGTTACATAGAACAAGTATGGTATTTGGAAGGTTTTGGCTTTTGCACTTTGAATGATTGGAAACACAATAAACCAATACCTGTAGTGAAAAGCAAAACTTTGTTTCCAAAAATGCTGCGTGATAGGTGCAGTGTCTTTTTATAAATTATGATCAAGTACCTTGCAAAGTGATTTCTTATTGATAATGTGAATAAGAAGCATATTTTAGCCTTTGTTCTTTACTCTTTTTTTTTTTAAGGTGGTGGAAAAATAAAATCTTCTTCACAAGAATTTGTAACTTAAACTACCCCAGTGTTGTACTTGAGATTGGATCAGTGAGATTTAATTTGTTCATTGAAACTGGTATAGCATGTTCTTTTAAACAAGAGTGAACTTTTTGATGATAGATTGGCTTTAGGCTTTGATTTCCCTTTGTTATGTTGCATTCTACCTTTACTATTGACGTCCATCCTAGTGAAAATTATGTAATAGTTGATCCTTGAGGTTGACCTGTGATATTTCCTGAACAATTAAGGATCTAGGAGGCAAGTTCCTCTTGGTTGATTATTAATCAAGTCTATGAGAATCTTTTTTTAAGCTGTGAAGTGGCTGTACCATTCTTCTTTTGGAACATAACATTTGATCTTAATCCACGTAGGATTATTGACAACAGATATTTCTCTTTTGTTTGCTTCTCTAGCTCTTTGAGCACACTAAACAATGAAAGAAGGATATGTGCACATGCTTTTTATGTTGCTCAACATATTGCATTGCCCACTGGTCTTGTTAATATATACCATTGTATTCTTTTGCTTCTTTTTTCTTTTCTGCTCATGAACAAGGATATGGTGTTGTCTTGGTAAGTTGGGAAATTTTCATCTTTGTATGACTCCATTCCTTCCAAATTATTGACATTTTAATGGCTCAAGCTACTGAATTGGATTTTGCCTGTTGCAGGTTTCGATCATCATCATTTGGTTCCCATACTGGTAAAGATAAACTAGAAGATAGTGTAGTCTCTAATTCTAAACAGATCTCGCCTGCATCAACCAAAAAGATACCTGCAGGTATCATTTTTCTCACTGACGTGATTTGATTGTGATGATAGTTTGACTTACTTCCTAGTTACTGATAGATGTTGGTCAAAATTTGTCAGGTTTTGCTAAAGCATCAGCATTTCTTCATGGCTTGGATCACATGGGTGCATCAGATTCTGGTTCTGATGGCTCAACTGTGGATGAGAATGATGGTGTAAGGAGATCAGGTTCTGTTTCTTTGAACCGTAGGTCTTCAAGTTCCCCTGAATCATCTGCTAAAACCATGAATTCTCTTGAAGAAAGTTACATTGTAAATAGACCATCATCTCCCAAGAACGGGCCTCTTTCTACTGAAGGAAGCACTATAAGGGGGTTTGTTCAGTCTCCAAACAGCACCATCACTGGTGAGCTTTCAAACACAAGCTCTAATCGGTCAGATGCGAGTATGAAGATTATTGATGAGGGGCCAGTGCATGAAGATATGCATGACCCTGTAGATTTTGGACAGTACTTCCAGGAGGGTTACTGTAAAGCATCAGCCACTAATGTTTCACATGAGTTGAGTGAAGGAGTTACTGATATTGATAGCAGTAATAGTCCTTGTGACAGAGAGAAAACTGAGGAAGATGTGGAAAGTGATGGTATGCTTGGAGGTGTATTTGCCTTTTCTGAAGAAGGTGTGCAATCTGAAAAGCTGTTTTGTCTGTTTTGTCAATTTTATCAAATTTTAAGTTGTTTCACTGCTAGTATAGTGATAGGACCAGCCACAGCTGGTAATCTGAAAACTTTTGGTGCTTCACAGATGAAGCTTCTTTGCATGCTGTCTCTACTCTTATGTTTCTGATAAAGCCAACATGCTCGCCAATTTTTTCGTAGGTTGATGCATGACCTGATGATGCCAGCCTTGTGCCACCGCCCAATGTTGAGCAGAAGGTTGGCAGACGAAAGAATGATGTTCTTCCAGTACAGCTCCCCAGAAATGCTTACTAACATATTGATGTGAATGTATGACTTATTCTTGGCGTCCCCTTGTGTTGGCAGAGTGAAAGTGCCTGGTTGGGAGTTCTTGTGTATATATGTTGTATATTAAGTTCATGATGCAAATGATGTCTGAACATTCTCTTTTTCTTCCCCCGGTGTAACAATATTTGTTCTTTCAAAGAAAAGAAAATAAAAGAAGTATCCACAAAAAGAAAAACCAAAGACAGAAAAGGTACTCTTCTACAGTACATTGCATTTCCCTATTTGAAAATTGTTCGCAATTTATTTATTTTTCGGTTGCGCTCTTTCATTTTGAGACAACTTCTTCCAGTTGTGACATTTACATATTTCTTCGGAATTTTTTAGAAATGCAGGTTGAAGGGTCTTTATCTTCCACAAGTTCTTCTTATAGAAGATTGGTGATCTTGGGAAAGTGAAGTGAAACAAACAAACATGGCGGAATAGATAGTTTTTGGTACGCACAATAATGCTTTCGTTGACAGAAAACTCCACTGTTTATGTATGTTTCCCTAAGTTTACAGAATTTCTCCTTATAACCATGCTATACATCTTTCTACAAGAAATTCTTAGGAGATCATGTTGAGGTCTGATGGAAGTCGACAATGCCTTGTTATTGAAGCTCATAATTTTAAGGATTCCTAAGTTGCTTCGGATGAAAATTGACATCTGAAAAGTGAAAAAACCAAACTGTATTCAAGGTTGATATACTAACAAGTGATCAAGGTTGCTTATCAAGTTGGTTGAACAGATCAACAACTAGTCTTCAAGCTGGTTTAATGAATTGGTTTGTAGATAATTTCAACCTGTAGTGTGTGACATAAAAGGTTGTGCTGCCTTGTTTAGAAGGCGAGTTTTGTGGGAGTTTGTTTAAAACTTTACTGTAGCTTACTGTAGAAGTTTTTAAAAATTTTTTTGAAATGTGTAGATTTTTGAATATTTTGAAATGTATAATTTAAAAATTTTGAGAAAATTTTTGAGATTACTGTAGCTAAAGTTTTTTAAAAAACTTGTAGCAGACAAATTTGGCAAAAACTTGAAGCACTTTTTAAGATGCTTAAATTACATTTAACTTATCATGTAAATACACACACGTAATTATTGTCTCTTTGCATTCAGATATTTTTCCGAATCAGTCTCTTACCAAAAAGTTAACAGCTAAAACTATCTTAATGAGTGCCATGGGATACTTGTTGGCCAAGCTCTCTCTCTCATGTAAATATTAAATAAAAGTTGAATGATAAGTTTCTACTCTTTAAAGAATGGGGGAAAGAAATCTCTTTTTAAGTTGGATAAGAGATTGTTATTATTATTTTTTTGGCAAATCTCATATACGGAGGAGAGATGACAGCCCTAATTTTATTAATCAAAGCACGAGAACTAGAGAGGACCAAATAAGACCTGTATACGATAAGAAAGTTTACTATTTCCTGATAGAAAGGAGCCTAACCGAAGGAATTGAGACACTATATCGAGATGAATGGCTGATCTGACATAGCTGGGAAGACTGTCCTCCGACGTGACAACCCTAAATGAGACGAAGCTAATGCATCAACAGCCGAATTAGCCTGCCTAAAGACATGATGCAGATAAACTCCAAGACCCGATAGCAGAGCCCTTATCAGTCGCAGCACATTGCAAAGAGGCCAACGTGCCAAAATATCAGACGAGACCATTGTAACTAATGATTTCGAATCCACCTCGGCCATAAACCCTGTGAAGTTTCTTTCCTGGCAATAGATCGAACCAACCAATAATGACATATTAGAAAAACTAACTTGTCAGCAAAAACAAAAATGACAATAGGTTCAGCCAAAAACAACACTAGTCTCCCCAAACTCCTTGTAAAAAGCAAAAACTAACTTGTCATCATGAGACCGTAGAAGACCTCTGTTTTCAAACTCGGACCGGATCGGGCGGTCGAACCGGGAACCGGCCAGGTAGCCGGTCCGAGTCACATTAAAAAACCGAAAATTTAAGACCCGGTCAAAGCCGGTCAAAAACCGGATTTGACCGGGAAAAAATCGGTTTTTCCGGTTCAACAGTAATTTTTTTAAAAAAATTTTCAAACTTTTTAATATTATGTTTTGGCCCCCTAAATTGTTAAAACTTATTGATATACCTCAAATATTTGATACTTTATAAATATTGTCCTAAAATTTGATGTTATTTTTCAATTAAATTCATAATTTTAATTCTAAACTTGTTAATATTTATTAAATAATATAAATTGCTACTTGATTGTTCTAATTTCTTTGTATTTTCTTGTTAAATATATTTGAAACATCAAATATATATGAATATACCTTTATTAATATCAATATATTATTAGATATTATATATATAATATTTTAATTTTTAAATAATTTTTATTTATGACGTCATCCGGTTCGACCCCTATCGACCCCAGGTCGAACCCATTGACCCCTGACCCCTGACCTCGGCCGAGTCGCTATCCGGTCCGGTTCTGAAAACATAGTAGAAGACCCCCTCCAATTGCTCCAGAGTCCAGACGAAGTAACACTAGCATTCGTATTAAGCTTAAAGGATTGTCCAACTGGCTAGGAGATTATTTGAAACATTATTATTAGGAATAATTAATCATGGAATTGTAATATTTTTTAACATGTGATATATGTGAGATGCAAAAGTATTTGAAATGATAAAAAGATGATTGAAAAACGTGTCTGTTGTGATGCAAGTAAAATAATATTTGAAGTAAAATTGATATCCAATCACACTCAAATATTTTATGTACATGATGTAAATAAAAGAGAGGCAAATTTCTACTGTCGTCACTCCTATATCCCCATTCACCCTTGGACGCCCACATTTTCTATGGCCACAAGCTTGAAAAATGTTGGCTGCGCATGCTGAATGAACAGCCATTTTTGCTGTACATTTTTGTATCCATTAGGAACGCCCATCATAATCTATTTATGGCTTTTATGCTGTGGTGAATGCTTAGGATACCTACTCAATCCTAAAATGCTGTGATGTTTTGGCTTCGAGTGGTGTCTCCTACATTAACTGGGTCACATCTTCTTTCTTTGGTGTCCCATTAGATGCCCTTCATATCACACCAGTAGCAAGACTTAACATACAAACACCAGAAGTGGTCCCCTAAACTCCTGTAGTCCTATATCTGACTGGAGGTACAGAGTCATTAATGGATCTCTGGCTATCCATGAATCCAAGGCCTCTTCAATGGAGGGATTTTTCCTCCTAGGTAAAGGGGTAGAAAAGATACTTACATGTGCAAGACCAGCCATTTTGTACTCCATAACTTCTTAATGGTCTTAAAACATTTGCTAAATTGGGTTCATTTGTTTTTTTCATCGGATGTAAAAACTAAAATTATGTAAATTCATCTTAAGACTAGATACCACTTTCAAGCTTACTTAAAGATGAAAAAACATGAATGATCTTGAGTTGTATTGCTTGAAGTACTGCTATGTAGCTGTAGTTTTCAACACTAGTGAAAGGAATGCTCCTTCAGTTTCTGTACAAATTCCCTGAGAACTTGCACTGTAAATTAGGAGAATTATTTCTACTAATCTCATATTACGTGTATCCAAGATAGGTTTTTTTTTTTTTTTTTTTTCTACTCAGGGGGTATCCGGGCTTCGAGTATGCCGGACCCGACTAATCCCCCTGAGACCCGAGAGGAGAGGTCCCATTCCCTCGAATCGGTAATCACTGGGACTCGATTCCTGGTGGGAGAGAATGGACAATGGGACCTTAAGAGGCTTCCTGTGACCAATCGAACTGCCCAGAAAGGCTACGTGTATCCAAGATAGGTGCTCCAAACAAACTTGCCATTTACTATTCACTCAAATCAGTGGGACAGTGGTTACTACATATCAAAGGATGTGGACATAGGTGAGTTGGATTGCAAATTTGGCCTCAGTCAAAATTACCCACATTTCAACTTCTTTCTAACTTGTTAGGTTGCAAGAAACAGACGGAAAAATAGAGGGATTGAAGTAACTCTTTCACGAAAAGTAAAAGATGACTATTCGCAAACAATCCCTTTTTCTTTTACTAAAATGGCTGATCGCTCTGTGGTGTCAAGAAATGTATTTCACTTTTTACTCCCTTACATTTTCTGAAAATCCAGAAAGTAGTCTTTTAGACTTTAAAGGTGAGTAATAAAACAAAAGAAAAAAAAGTTGGACCACCTAGTGTTCTTTTCTGTAGTAAATCCTGAAGAGGGACTCTTGCACATTCTTTAACATTGACATGTGAACAGAAACAAAATAACAAACACAAATCTGTAAGAAGAGTAATGAGACCAAGTCAGAATAGTACTGCATTTGCTGTCAATTTCAGGGTTGGGATTTGGATTTGCAGCCAACTGCTCTAATTTGCATTTGCATAGGGAGTTATATCCATAATCAGAATTGCTGTCATCATTCTGCTTTGAATGCAAAATGCAACCAACCCTTGTGGCTGACTGGCAGGCATTAGCCATATGTGTAATATGTCCCCTACACAATTCACTCAACATAAGACACGTTCTCACTTCTGACAAAACTACAGAATGTGAAGATAAAAAGTATCAACACCAAAATGAATATGATGAAACTGAAGGGTTTAACTTTACACCCTGGTTGAAAGTGTCAAGCCAAAACCAGATGCTGCTAGTGGCCTTTGGGGGGGCCATCTTATATAGCAAAAGTCCCTCTCAGGATAAGTTAAATGCCAACCGCTTAATCCATATACCAAATACCAACCAACCAAAACATAACACCAATAAACCACAAAGGAAGCTAGCTACCAAAAGATTAAAGGCGTTTTGTGAAAATGTCAAGAGATAAGATGAAAAGAAAGAGTAGGTAAACGGAACATAATTCATGTCTGTTAAGAAATTGAGTTGATGGTGATGGAAGTTCCAGAACATTTAGTATAGAATCGGTTTTTAATATAATTAGAAACGGTTCTCATCTGGAACTGGAACTTAGCTTACGCAAAAAAAAAAAAAAAAAAAGTTATTCTTGGATCAAAGTGTTTAGATTGCACATTGAAAATTGAGTCCGTGAAGTGACACACATTTATAATGGATCAAAATGTACTGTTTGTGTAAAATCAAGGACTTCTAAGTTTATGCTTTAAAATATAGGGATAATTTCAGAAACCTCCCCTGAGGTTTCTGACAATTTCACTGACCTCCCCTGAGGTTTCCACAATTACACTGACCTCCCCTGGCAGAACTTGGGACCCAATTGCTGACATCATATAATGCAAAATTACTATTATACCCAAGACATTTTGTGTTATTATAGGACTAAAATATGATAAGGCAGATGGTGTTTTTGGATAGTATTGGATTGCATTTCTATTTATTTAATGTATGGTTATGAAATTTGTAATGATATTACTCTTGGATTGCAGTTTTGGTTTGCACCTTATTACTGTTAATGTTTTATAAATGACTGTTTTAGTTCTTGGATTACACCTTACCTCCAAAATTTGGGAATTTACCCAAATTTTCCATTTTCTAATATTCCTACAAATATGCAAAATTATGCATATCCCTCAAATCTACCCAATATTAATGTTTTGTTAAACTCTAAATAACAAAAATATGAAATATAA